GGTGGCGAGCTTGACCTTGAGAACCAATGTACGACCTTTGAACTCAGTCCGTGCTAGATCTTTCTCAAGCTCCTCTGCTATCGACCACAGTTTCGCTCTGAACTCCTCTTTATTCCCGATCTCATGGAACGTCCTCTCCGTTCCCACGCTCTTGCGCTCGTAGTTCTCCACCGGCTGAATCTTTGTTCTACCCAAGCCGAGATAGCACTGCATCAAGAAATGGAACGCTTTTTCTCCAAAAAGTTTAGGCAATATGGCACGCTGCGGATAAATGTCACCGCACGTTTTAATGCCGATCGCATCAAGCTCACGTTCGAAGACGCGGCCAACGCCATTCACCTTGCGGACCGGCAGCTCCTCCATGAACTTCATGATCGCTTCTCTTTCATTAGGAACGCAAAATTGACCGTTCGGCTTGTTTTTGTTCGAGGCAATCTTGGCTATTTTTGCATTTGCCGCAATGCCGGCAGAAACTGATATCTGGGTCTTCTCCAGGACCTCTGCTCGCATCCGCTGGACCGCCTCTTCGGGGTCAAGCCCATTCTCAGTACAATATGCAGTCAAGTTGAGATACGCCTCGTCAATACTAGCGCTTTCGAACGTGGGATCATATTGTGCGAAAATGGCGCGAATCTCCTTTGCCTTTTCCGTATACTTCTCGTAGTTCTGAGGTAGGCAGATCAGCTGAGGACATAGCTTCTTCGCGACGAACGATGCCATGCCACTCCGACAGCCGAACTTTCGCGCCTCATAGTTGCAGGTCGTTAGCACTCCCTTGCCGACCGCCATAGGTACGGTCTTCAGTTCCGGACGATCAAGTTCTTCCACAGCGGCGAAGAAAGCATCGCAGTCGACGTGGACAACATGCTGCGACAGATCTCGCGTCAGTTCTAGCTCAGCAAGAAGCTGGTCAGCACGTCGTAGATCCGCCGACAAATCTAGTTTCTCGAGACGGGCTTTCTCTTTGAGAATGCGTTCAATCTTGACCGTCAGGACCTTGTCCCGATTTTGCTCATGATTGAAAAATCTGGAGCCTTTGGAGGCATTATATATGATTTCCGATACCTGCCAATTTTAGCTATACTCCTAGACCGTAGTAACATACTCACCTTTCGCTGGTCCACGGCATCCTGGCCCGCTTTGGTCAAAGACGGTCCTAAGAGTTGGTATTTCAAGGTCTCATAGTTTTCAGCAGACTCCACACTGTTAGACGCCTTTGCATCATCATTTGGCTCCTCGCCCGAAGGCTCCATCTCTGATGATGGAAGCGAGGATGATGGGCATGAGATTACCCAAGCAGGCAGCTATTGCGACGCCTGATCACGTGAACACGCGTGACGGGCCGTGTTTCACGTGCCGCTGATGTCAACTCATCCGAGCAGCTGCATCTCGCTGCCAGGCACACAACCGCTCCCATGTGGATTCTAGACTCGGAGGGTGATTTTCTGGGTGGTAATACCTTCACTAACTGCTTTATGGTTCTGGCTGATTGTTAAAGGCAAGCGCGTGTGGCTGCGACCGGGGAAGAAGTATCTCTTCGGTCGGATCAAGCAAGATGGAGGTAAGGTGCTGCGACCATGGTCAAACTCCGCTATACTAATTTGGTTGCATGCAGTCCGACATGCTATTGATAACAAGTCTATTTCCAGAAAGCATATGATGATCGAAGTTTCACCTGTAAAACCAGGAGATGGAGTACGATGACCGAATCCCTCTGCTTTCCCCGCTAACCGTTCAGTCGCATATCTACACCAGATCGAAGCTTGCCGTGCGCGACTTGGGCTCGAAGTATGGCACCAAAGTGGATGGCCATACGGTGAAGGATGAAAGTAAAGATCTGACTGGTGAGGAGCATGAAATTAAGTTGGGGAGATACGAACATGCGCTGCGGTAATTACCATGGCAAGGAACAATATCGGCAGGGACTAATCGTGTGGTTACTAGGATCAAGTGGCAGCCAGTCGTCCTTACCTTTTCCTTTTCCTCGAAAGAACTCAAAGCGAAAGATCCCCTGGCGCAAGTGCGCTCCCGTGTCGAGGATTTGGATATCAAAACGATTGTTCCGTACGTTGTCGAACACACTACACATGTCGTCCAGAAGAAACGGAACACTGCCAAAGGCCTGCAAGCATTGGTGAATGGAAAGTACATCGTGCAGGATTCTTACATCGACGCCTTGGTTTATGCGGCTACCCCGAGCGACTTAGAAAACCTCGAGTCGTTGTCCCCGTTGGAGGCCGATTTCGACACTTCATGGCCGGATGCAATGGCACATCTTCCACCGCCTGGCAAGGAAACCGTACAGAGACCAAAGGAAGCATTTGCTCCGAGACCCGATAGAACAAATATCTTTGATGACTACACATTTGTGTTCATGGACCCTGCGCAGTTTGGAAACTTGCAGGATGTTATTACGAACGGTCACGGGAAGGCATTGCTTTACCAAGTGGAAGAAGGGGTCACCACGGCGGCAGAGATCGTGCAATATATGAGAAATGCGGCTGGCGACAAAGGTCTGGGGAGCCAACGGGATGGCCCTGGCGGAGTGGTTCTTGTTCGATACGTTGCGACTGGACGCCATGAGAAATGGTGGGCCGAGCTCGGTAATGAGGTTGCTTTGTCGACCGACCAGCGCGTTATTCAGCAGAGCGAGTTTCTGGACGCTATTCTGGGGAATGACGCTTCTGGTCTCTGCCGGTCTCTGCCCGAGGCCCAGGACATGGATGTAGAACCCACTCCACCAGCTGCTACCCCTGATGTACAAGAAGTCCAAGACTCACAGCCCCCGGCGGAAAGTCAAGTGTCAACGAAGAGGAAGCCACGAGTCCGAGGATTTGTCAGTAAGATGAAAACATTCGATGATGGCTTCGATATCAACTCTATCCCCGCTCATGCTCCGGAGAGCGTTGATGATCCGCCGCCTTTGATGGAAATCGAGCCATCGCCGGCACAACAATCGCAACCGCAAAGCAGCCTCCAAGAGGAGGAAGAAGAGGACATGGTGTCAAGCCTACTTCCGGGTGCCCAAGCGATGAAACGTCGACGCGCTCAGACGACGGCGAGGACCAAAGAAGAGCCCAGTTCTGAGACGAAAGACGAGGCCATGCCGCGGGTGAAACGCCAGAAACTGGATGTACTAGAGGCGGCGCGACAGCACCGGGAGGCCGAAGACGCGCAGCGCCAGCGTCAGGCGGAAGAAGCGTCGCTGCAAGGGCCTCTTGAGGATGTCAATGTGGAGAAGCTCAAGGGACTTGCAATCGTAGAGGAGATGGAAGTGAAGCCGAGAAATGTGAGCGAAGAAGACCGACGTTGGGACGATCGGTGGAATGGACGCAAGAACTTTAAGAAGTTCCGCCGCAAGGGCGAACCGGGACAGCCCCGCTACCGCATTCAGACGGTGATTGTGCCACTAGAGGAAGTGACGCGAAAAGACTTTGGGATTGGGGACCACTACTGGGTTAGTAATCGCACGGAGCAGAATCCAGCAGATAGTCCAGCCGAACGGGCTGTCAGCCAGGACGCAGCGGCATCCCGCTCACAGTCCTCGGCCCGGGTCGAATCGGAGACACCAGCGCCCAGGGAGACCCGAAGTCAGCCCCGGGTGCAAAAACGGATGCGAGAAGAGCAAGATTCGGATAGTGATGATGGGCTTCGGTTCCGGTTCCGTCGCAGGCGATGATTGATGCTCAAAATGTAATTAGATAGATACCTTCGACTATAATCAGTTTGTTTCTCATGGGATGGGACATTGCATGTAGTTGAATGAAGAAGGGCCCACCATCGCATGGCAGGGAATTGAAGTGAATGCGATGGATGTGTTGCCATGTTGGTGTTGCCATGTTGCCATAGTGTGGAGAACCACATGCGGGGGAGCCAAGTAGCCAGGGAAGTGGGTATGCTGGGTAGACAGACGGTGCTTATGACGCTGTTGGGCATTAAGCGGACCACCTCATAGGGCGCATTACCGTGAAGTGTTGTGGTGGATAATATGCGGTCAGCCGTGCATGATGCGAACCAACTTGTATGATACAATTAACTCTGATATAGGTATCGATCGAATCTGAAGTGTAACAGTATCTGTATCTAAGATATTACATCATGAGAGGAAGTAGAAGTGGATGAGTGAGTGAGAGTGGACACTCCCATGTGGTCTGTGCTGTGGCTCATCCAAAGTGGCCTGGGAATGGAGACCCCCCCGACCCGCCGGGCTGACCCCGTTTGAGATGTGTTTCAAAGGGCCCACGGGAACCAAACACTGATATATGTGAAACCATACGCTATATGTCTCTTCTTGGATAGATAGTAGTTGATTGTCGACTATCTTGGGTCTACAGGTGAGATGGCGGTCTGGGAATACACCAACTAGAATATGCACACATTAAGTAACAGTATGTTTAGCAGTTGAGGGAAAAGGGGTGGATACTTACTGCTGTAAGTAGCATTCAGGTGGTGTGATGAGTCCAGCGGAGGAGAGCGTGACCAGCAAAATAACTAACTAACCTGTAAACCTGGTTTGGGGGCACCGAACAAGGCTGTGTTTTGGCTTTTCCCGTCTTGCCGTAAGAATGACTTGCCGGTCATGGTGAATGTGTGCCTGAGGAGAGCCTGGAAGATTCCCTCTCTCTGTTCCTCTCTCTGTTCCTTTCTCTCTCTCCCCCTCTAAAGTCTCTCCGTCATCCTCGTCATTTCACCCATCTCGTATCGTCTCTTCTCATCCATCCATCTATCCATCCTCTTCCTATTCTTTCGCTTTCCCACTTCTCTACTTCCTCCCCATCATTTCCCATCCCGCCTGGCTGCGATTGCTTTCGTTCCCTCCATCTCTGTATTCTGATCTACATACTCCATACGACCAGCCCTCTCATCTTCTCATCGCTACAATCCCACCCACTCCAGCTGCCTGACTGCCTAACCGCCGATTAGCATCTCGCCCACTCGTTCGACTGGCGACAATCTGCCTCCAACGCATCAGCATTGGCACCGCCATGGACCACGTTGGCTAGCCCTGGCTGCAATTCATATTATCGCTCGTTACCTCTTCCATCCAGCGTCCTGCCTATTTTAATTCTCCTTATCACGGGCCACAGAACGCTCACAACCATTCCCCCCGTTGCCCGCTGCTCTTAGCCTCCCGTCAATAGTATGTCTCGCAGCGCGCATTCCCCCCAAAATTTGATCCAGTGCCTCGTTTTTAGACTTTGCTTTGCTTTTTCTTGCCTTGGTCACAGGTAATTGAAATACTAACTTCCGACCCACCCGCAGCGCCTTGCTCTAACTAACGATTTACGACTTCCGACTCTTCCTCTGTTTGGCGCTTCCGGTTTTGTGCTTGCGACCTCAATTTGAATGCCGTCTGCATTGTTATTCTCCCCCTCATCGTCCCCCATGATTTCCACCATCCCCCCTCCCCGACCCGTCTCGGTCAATTCACTGGCCAGAGCGTCGGCCTCGACAACCATCCCCTACGCCAAAGCGAGTCGCTGCACCAGTGCCGAAATTCAGATTCTTGATGGTCCCATTAATCCCCCGGCGGTGGGGCCTGGTCAGCTGGTCTGCCAGTCCCCGGTGGATACCGAAATGGAGGATGCACGGATAAGCGTGGAGACACCTCAGGCCTGCCGATCTCAAGTGCGCTTCGAAGACCTTCCCATCGAGATCCACGAGGCCATTCTAGATCATTTGTTTGGCGAGCGGGCATCGGCCTTCACGTCGTGCGCGCCCGGTAAGTCCGCGCGCAGTTGGAATAAGTCATTGCGTCATCCCCGTCGAAAAGCGCTCTCCAATTTGGCATTGATCACCCCTGTCTGGCGAGCACTGGTGCAGGACCGGATTTACAGGCACAGTGAGTCCCCACTTGTTAATTTTGGTCTCCAACGCCACAAATTGTTGCATCTGTCTAATTCACTGCCTAGTCAAAATCAAGGGTACCACAGACGAGTTGGCAGAAAGTGCCCGCTGGTTCCGTGCACATCCCCACCTGGCCCCGTACGTCCGCCATGTCGAGATCTGGATTCCGGTATGGGGAAAACGCGCCGTCAAGAATACATCGCATCATTTTCCTGCCCGGCGGTTGCATGACGAGGATGCCGGCCTGGTTGAGCCGGGAGTGCCTCAAGCCATCGCGTGGGACGACTCCGATACCAACCATAGCACCGACTATCGTTACCACTACGCCAGTCATAATGCGACCCTGGAGGAGATGTTCTCCCACGTAAAATCCGAATTCCCCGAAGCACGCATACTGACCCTGGAGGGAGGTCACTGTAAGCGACCGCCAATGGTCCGCCAATTCCGCGATGATCCATGCGGCCACTCCGGACGGCGGCGTTTGCCTACGCTGCCAGTCGTCCAGACGTTTGTCATGCGTGGAGCTTGGAATATTATGCGCGACTATCAACATTGGTTGAACATGTCCCAAGCCTTACCCGGGGTGCGCGAATGGCACTGCGCCTACGCCAAGCCCAAATTCGAGGCCTACGAGACTGTCGCGCAGATTCTCTCCTGCATATCCCCATCACTCGTCCATGTCAACATCAGCCTGGAAGGCTTCTACAACAAGGACAATACACAATCCGGCTGGATGCACGATGGAATCAGCCCACCACATCTCTGCCGCCTGCTTGGCGAGGCCGCCCCACGGTTGGAGTCCCTTGCATTTACGGGGAAGGTGTGCGCCTGTCTCTTCAATGCAACCCGCGGCTTCATGTCCACCTGGCCGGCCAAGTCCAAGCTCAAGTCGTTAGATTTGGTGGTCAAGACCTGCTGTCGCGAAAAGCGGGCCAATCCGGGACTCGGATTTTTAGACGACTTCTCCGGCATCACCAATCTGAATTTCATCCGCTCTTTTGAGAAACTCGTCCTCGGGGCCGTCCACAGCCTGCAGCTGCACACTGCCTTGACGTACATGCGCATCCGCTTCATCGACTTGGACTCGGCCTGTCCGCCACTAAATCCCTACTTCCAGCTGTCCGACAACGAGTGCACTGGTTTGTGGAATGAGAGAATTCTCGAGACCTTGCATGAAGCCCGTCCCCAGGCGCACTATGCAGAGCTTTCCGACGGCATCTATCCCCAGTATGGACACAACCGGCAGATTGTAGGGGCGGTGTACCCGCGAACTCGACCATTAAGTATCCATGCATCGACATACAAAGTCATTGCCGATGTGTCCAAGCCATAGCGCAGCTTCATTCTATCTGATTGTAGTTTATGATGGGCGGGTGGCAGCAGCAAAAGTCTTGAATGTAGCCCATTTATGATACCAGTCTTTTAACAGATAATGCAGTATATTTTACGATGATTGCGTGAAACTGATTAGATAGCTGCGTAGTGGAGCAGTATTTGACTTTGACTGCAAGGGGCATTCGGGAAGTAGCATAGGAGCTAATATAGTTTTACTTAAAACCAGTGTATAACAACATCTAGGAGATACAACGATACGTGATATATACAACCACACCACCATTCCAACTCATCCCCCACACCCATCCATACTCATAACCAACCAATTAATAAACATACCTAAACCTCGGATTCTACCCCACCATCAGCCTCACAAACACATACTTACATATCAATCAACCAAAGAAAGGGAAAAAGACACATACCTCGAAATCCGTCAAATCCTCCATAACTCCCTCCCCTTCCCCATCCCCATCCCCACCACCACCAATATCACTACTACTCAACTCCCTCCTCTTATTCCTCCTGATCAATAATAATCTAATCCCCCCCGCACAAACAATCTGACACACCGCACAAGCCAGAATCAGCTTACACCCCGTCTGATACACCGGCGCCTCACTCGCCAGGAAAGCGTGCGGGCCGATAATATTCCCGATACAGTAGGCTAGGAACACGAATGCCGTGGCGGTCACGCGTTTCGTGTATCCGCCCATGTTGCTGGAGGGGAGTTGGAGGGCCAGGACGAGGGAGGTTACGAAGGAGCCGATCTATATACCCGTTATCAATATCAATATCATTAACATTCTTAGTACTTTCGTTGGGGGGAAAGAGGAGATGGATGGGGAAAGGGGATTGGGCTCACGATATAATACCCAAATAACACCCCATACTCCCTCTCCCGGGGTAACTTCCATAAAAGACATACGCCGATCACAGTCGGGATTAGGTATGCGATCATGATTAGGGTGCGGATGTTGGGGATGCGGGTTGATAGGTAGGTTCCGCTTAGGATGAAAAGGACTTGGAAGGCGCCTTGGGGGATGCCGAGGACGGTGGTTAGGAGGGGGCTGGTTACGAGGCCTTTGATGATGAGTTTGCCGAACTATACATATTATTATTATTAGTGGTGGGGTTATAGGGAGTATGGTGGGGGAGATAGGGGATGGAATTTACGTTGGCTACTCCCCCGTTGATCGTCTCGTTGAGTAATGTGAATAGGAATAATAGCCAGACTTGGGGGTCCAGGAAGGCTTCGCGAATTTGGTACCATTTTATGGATCTATTGAGGATTCCCTATATCTTCTTATCAGCATATGGGTAGCCGTAGTGTGGGTTAGGTTGGAAAGGAAGAGGGGGAAGGGGCTACAGTTTGATTCTTCCTCCCCCTGCCGATGAGCAACACTTTCTCCTCAACGGTGAACCTCTTGCTTGAGAGAATGCTGTTCGGGAGGAATATCATCATCACTACGCCCCAGATGATTGTGGCGCCGCCGCAGATGAGAAATACCGCGCGCCATACGGGGAAGGTGTTGAGTTGGCCGATGGCGTAGGTGAGGAGGCCGCCGACCTAATTTATTTAGTAGGCTACTTTGGTAGTTGGAGGATGTAGTGGGTACTCACCATCGATCCAACGCCATTACAGCAGTAGAAGATCCCCGCGCGGAAAGGCTGCTCTTGTCGGAGATACCACATTCCGACGATCATCATGAAGCAGGGTGTTATGGGGGCTATATTTGTTAGTTAGTAGATAGTTATGAGGGAGAGGGTGGGTTGGTACATTCGAAACAGCCTAGGAGGAATCGACAGATGGCTAGGCCGGTGAAGTTGTTGCAGGCAGCTGTTATCATGAGGATGGAGCCCCAGGCGATGCTGTTTCGTTGTGTTAGTGGGTTGTGCATTAGGGTTTGGGGAAACTCACACGAATGACGAGACGACGGTCCCGATGGGTAGGCGTTGCGCGATGTAGCTGGCGGGGTATTCCCAGAAGAGGTAGCCTGTTATCAGTTTGGTTAGCTGCGCTGTGTTATGAACCTGTAGGGAGTATAGTATGTGGGGTTACCGAAGTAGAATATACTCGCTAGCCAGCTATACTCATTACTGTTGATATGGGCATTGGTGAAGAGGTCGAAGACGGCACTGTATGAGAGGGCTTGTTTATCAATATATTGTAGACAGTATGTCCCGCACATCAACGGCAGAAGAATCATGTCGATGCGTCTCCGTAGTTTCTTAGTCCGGACTGGATCGTCGAGCATCTCTTGCATCTGGTCGTGGGATATGCCATGTTCGTGGAGGAAGATCTCGGCTTCGTCTAGGTGGGTGATTTGGCCGATGTCGACGTCGTCGACTTTCGTTGTGATTGGGATGGTCTTTTCTGGGTCTTGGGGTTTGGTATGTGATGTTGAGTCTGTCATTGTGAGGATAAGGGTTGGCTAGCTGGAGAGAAAGTAGAAAATGGGGAATGGAGAGATATAAGGTGTATTCATGGCCTGTGGCATTGCGTCGCCCTGATAAGGTGCAACAGCACATGATGGCTAGCTGCGAGGCAGGTGTCAATGGCATGGCTCTTGGTCTGAGCGATAAGATGAATGCGTCTGGGTTATATTGCCGTATACAGCAAGATGCACGACAATCTAGGTGATCATAGGCTATCTCGGAGGGTGTCCGAGATAAGACCAGGTGATAAGATGAATGCGGGGTGCGCGATCGGCATCAGAAGTAGAGCCGACGAGTAGCTGGTTCGGGTGTCTGTACAGTTTTCGCTTTTTTAAAAAGTATAGAGATGATGATAGATGTGTAGGTTGTAGCTTGTACTGGTCTTTGTATAGGCACTAGATAGATTGTTTGATAAGATTACAGTTGGGTTGCCCTGGTAAGTGATAGAAAACCCATAATGGACGGTCTTTTGCCCACTGATTATTATAAGGCAGATAATACCGAGTGTCTGTACGTAGAGTAGGAACAGTGAATAGGATTGTCATGATCCGCTGTCTGAATAGAGAGACTGAAAAAGGATAGGTAGTCAGTCTAACCTATGAAGATGAACTAGAAACGACGAAGCTTGGCAACGCCTACTACGGCTGAACTACCACAACCAATCAATCTTTCATCGCGTCTTCGAGCAGTGCTCGACCCGACGGAAGGCCGCCGCTGTTGGCCGCATCCCGGCGCATGAAGAGCGACTACAACTCCAATCAGCTACCACTCAAATGTTGGATGAACCCCCAAACATATGAAAATGATCACAAATTAACCTAGAAACCAATAACATGCCCTCTTCATCATGAAACAGCTTATGCACGTGAGACTATATTTATAAAATAATCTACATTAATTAATATCCCTGCTGCTGCAAACCTGACCTGCACCCTAACTTAGCGCTGCTGCTCTGCATCTAGTTATAAATATATCCCCCTAATATTACTTAGTATAGTAATCCAACACGTTCTATCTCTGGAAACCGCACTATTCGGGTGATATTAATAGGGTCCAACCACTTTAGTGAACTACACATGACCAATCACCACCCCCGGAAGTTTCCAACAGGTTGGAATGGATCGTCCGGGAACATGCTGGGCTGGGATTGACAGCGGTTGCTGCCGCTGCGGCTATACCCATCTATTTCTGGGGTTGGCAAACATCTATATTCAGCTGCTGCATGTTCTCAGTGATGTAGTCATGGCTTCAATATTTAAGTATTCTGGAAGTTCCCGTAGAGATGGTATTCATCGACAGGCACTTATAAATCAAAGCATCATCCAGAAATCAACTCTTCGCAATGGCAGCCATCGAGTATCCATCCACCCCAGCTCCTATCCCCCTCCACCATCACCAAGCAACCATGGAAGCATCTCGATCTTCCGATGCCGAGAGACGACAGGAGGAAGAAAACCTAGCCAAAGCCAAAGCTAATGTCCAACGTATCATGCAACTTTACAACTCTGGGAAGCCACTATTTACACGGACACTCTTGAAGGACCTTCACGAGCAGATCATTCAGGGAAAAGACAAAGTTAAGATTCCAACTTGGAATGATGAGGCAAAAACATACAGCCTCGAAGTCCCTAAAGACCTCGCCGGAAGATGGTAAGTCCATCTGCTCCAATCAAGCACAGTCTGTCACTCTAACAGAGGAAACAGGCGCAGATATAACATCGACTATAGCAGCATCCAGCGCTTAACACTGTTCGACCCACACCTTCTCGATCTGCTGTTGGACCCCCCGACCCCCGTCTCCATTACGTATGTGCTCGACCCAAGCCCGCCTGGCGTCACCCTCAAAGTGATCGACGATACATTCAAGCTGGTTCGCCGGGAATGGCAGGAAAGCGAGACATGCTCTAACCTAGAGAACTCTTTCGTGAAACCGAGGTTTGATCCGGAGGCAATCACAATTACCAAAATTGTTGCCTTTGGACTGGGAACCCTCGGCAAAACCAACCTCGGGCAACTTCCGGTCCGCTCTTATGCCCAACATGCTGCTACGTTGACTATTGCCGCTGTTTTGAAAGAACGGAATATAAGTCAAGGACTTGATGTGCAGTGCTTTAGCCAGGATCCGTGGTACAATGAGACAGATATTGAGTTTCTGGGAGGTCTCGGTATCACGGTGCTAAAAGACCCCGAGGGATTTTTGGAGATCGATGAGCAGACGCTGGTATTCTCGGTCGGTCCCGATGTTCCCGTTAGGCAGATCGTGGCAGATGTGCAATGGCCGGCTGCTATGGTTTGGAATAGTCCGCTTTCAGAGGTACCGATAAATCGGGGAATGTATTGGGCGCGGTGAGTTATTCTTCTCTTGCGTCCATACTTTTTGTTCTTGCTAATATGTGATTTATGTGTAGTAGTCCGATGGAGGCTGATCCTGATTCAGAGAGAGTCGGTAGTATGCTGCGCAACTATGACGGTGTGCAACTGGACGATCAGGCTGATTATTTGGGAGACTTGACTGTTTATGCGAGAAGGCCGCGTTCTTAGTATACAAGCGAGGAAAGGGTGTGGTTTTCTGTGCTTCGGTAGTGCATGTGACAGAAAATTTCATAGTCATTAGGGTTTTGCTTTTTATGTGAATAGTACTGCGGTGATAGGTTCCCTATATTCCGGTTATTCACAATCAATGTCCACCCTATTGCACATTGATGGCATTATATATCTAGCTCTGCATGAGCCTCGTTAAAGTTATAGTATAGTCTCGAGATATCCCAAAGCGTATAGCAAAAAGTCTAATCCATCCAGAAAATGATATC